CCTACTGCTTTGGACCTTACAGGATCAGGAATTGATTTGTCAGATACAAATAGTGTCACTACATTGGCAGAGTATTCAAAACCACTGATTGTTTACCTAGAAAAACTTGCTGAGGATGAAAAGGTAGAAATACATTTACCATGACTTAAAAAAAAAAAAAAAAAAAAAAAAAACAAAAAAAAAAAAAAGAAAAAAAAAAAAGAAGGGTTCTTTCAATCACTTCTATACTTATGCACAAACAATCAACTAGCATTAGTTAAATGTTTGGCTGTGCTTAGACAGCTAAAAATCAAGCAAAATTCTTGAAATAGAGAAATGGGTATTGAAAATAAAGAGGATGTGTCAGAAACAAACAAGGAGGGAAAATCAAAAACCTAACCTTGACTTGCCGGGGCGGAAGGAGAACCAATTGTAGCGATTACGGAAACGATCGTCGATTTGGGCAAGGAGATCGGCTTGGCCGAGGGATGGAGGCAGGTGCCGCAACACCACTTTGGTTCTTCGCAATGGGTCCTTCATCTATCTACTATCTCCACTTCCTCTGACGAAAATTGCACCTATCCTCCACCAAATTTTCGATCCGAATGCGATAGAAAGTTAGAAAGGAAGAATCTTCAGCGCAAATTTCCAATTTTTTCACATGGAACAGTTTTGCTTCCCTAATTAGCTCTTAATCCTAATTTCATGTACAGGCACAGATGCAAAGTTGCAGGTCAGGAGCTCGCTTTTTCCCTTTCGGCCCGTTCACGTAAAAAGACGACATTGCTGTTCAGCGTTTACATCCATCTCTCTAGAAAATACTACAAAGAATTTCATTATTCCTTTTTTTTTTTTTTGGAAGAGTCAAAATATAATCCAACGTGTAAAATGTGGGGCTTAACCTTTTTCTTTTTTCAAAATACTGCTTTTTTTTTTCTAAAGTACCAGACAGCCATATTTCTTAAAAATTCAGTAGTTTTAATAAATTATTATTAAAAAAATTAAAATAGTTTACCCAAACTATATTTATAACCAGACACAGTTCAATTGGTTTGATTGGCCGGACCAAGCCAAATTTGAAAACAGTGCTCCAGCATTCGTAACTACCAACTCCTCTTTTTTTTTTTTTGATAAGTGGTGCTTACACCTCCTTTTGCAAACCATCTGGCTCAAACTCAAAAAGGGGTAGCTAGGTGTAGTAGCTGATATAGGTTTGAAAACTGGATCGGATTAGCTGGTTAGATAAATTAAACTGGTACTAGTAGTATAAATAGTTCAAGTACACTTTTAAAATCGTTTAAATAGTTAAATTGATTGAAATCGTTAAATCTATTCAAATTGATTGAAATCGTTAAATCTATTCAAATTGATGAACCATCAAACCAATAAACCATTTGACTTTATGGTTCATTGCTTGGGCATAAAGCCTTGAGAAATTTGTTTATTGCAGGTTCGAACTTACAACCTTAAAGCTCTTACTCCAATCCTTTGCCACCAAAAGAATGCAACCTCTTGTCATTGAGTGCTTAGAATTTTATTTATCTCATAGAAATCTTAAAAATTTTAATCAAATTATTGATGACAACCTTGAGAATTGAACATCCATTCTCCATGTTAGACAACAAAGATTCTTCCAGTTGATACACAACTGTTGTGCATGATAATATATTTATAATATTTTGATCAGCTTAGCAGTTTTACCGATTAAACCAATTAAATCGTTCAACTATAAGCTAGAGATCAAAATGGTTTGATCTCCGGTTTGGATTTAAAAACAGTGGTTGCTTATTAGTGAATGAAAATTATAGGAACAAAAACTGCAAAAAGAATATATAATTCTAAATTGTCCAAACTCAAGACCACATTTGAGAATAATTATAAAACTTCCTCTTAACAATCGCAAACCCTACCTAAGTAAAAAAAAAAATATATATATATATATATAGGTTGGTTGAAATATATAACTTCCTCCTGTTACTTATTGCAGTGCAAACTCAAGACTGTTGTTCAAAATAATTACATAACTTCTTTATTATTGTAAGCAATCAAGCACCCTTCACCATCTAAAAGAGAAGTGAATAGGTTGCTAAAAAATATTAAAGGATTATGAGCACACTAAAAAAATTTGTCTTTTGCGATGCTCTCTATTACAACAATTTACATTAAAATTGTACTAAAATAATATTTGCAACTCTCTCTATTACGACAATTTGCGCTAAACAAGGACATCGCAATTGAGGGTTTTTTTTTTTTTACTAGCAAGCCACTAGTCAACAAATTAACTTAGACAAATCCTCTATATTTTTCAACAACAATACTACCCTAACCATGCATTAGAAACTAATGTGTATGTTGAACATGTCGAAGACCATTATAGATGATAAATACTTGGGGATGCCTTTGATTATAGGAAGGAATAAGACACCTTGTTTTTCATCTATTTGGGATAAAGTGAAAGGGTGGAAAAACAAGCTGCTATAATGGCATGTTAAAGTCTGCATCCTAGACCATCAAACACCATCAAACAACCAAGTTTGATCTGGCTTACCAAGATGTAAATTATCAAACAAATAAAATAAAGCCCATGATTCTCCTCTTGAATTTAGCAAACCAATAAAATGAAGTCCATGTTCAAATCTACATCCTAGACCATCAAATACCCAAGTTTGATCTAACCTATACCTAATTGCATCTAACCTAAATTTGTTTCTATATACCCAAAAATCCCAAAACCCATTCTATACATTTGCATCTTAAAAACCCCAGAGGAGGGACTTATTCACATAGTCACAACCATAGTCATACCACCACCACAGACATGAAGTGGTAGGCCTTTTTCCTTTTAATGAGATTATTAATGCTCCCAATGAGAACTTTGATGTTTTTGATCTAACCTGCCAAGGTGTAAACCAATAAACCAATAAAATGAAGCCCATATTCAAGTCTACATCCTAGACCATGAAATACCCAAATTTGATCTAGCTCATACCTATTTGCATCTGACCCAAGCTCATTTCCTTCCACCCAAAAATCCCAAAACTCATTCTATAGATTCATGTCTTAGAAACCCTAAGGGAATGACTCATTTACAAAGTCATAGTCACAGTCACAACCACAAACACAAACACAAAGTGCTAAGCCCTTTCCTATTAGGCTAAATGCTAATTTTGGTCCCTCAATTATGAAAAATGCTCCTTTTTAGTCCTTCCATCAATTATTTCATTAAGTTTGTCTATATATGCACATTCTTAGCTCCTCAAGTTTAGGATTTTATACAATTTTCGTCCTTCAACTTAAAAGTTCAGGGACTAAAAGCAATGGCGTAGCCAGAAATTTTAATTAGGGGGGCTGGATTTTCAAGTTTCAAAATAATACATTATAATTTCAAAAGTTTAGTTTTATATCATAAATTAAAATAATACTCGACGAGTTTTCATACCACAAAATCTATTTATAATAGAATCTATACTAAATGTCTGAATTATTTCCTTTTCAATATAAACAATCAAAGAGTTTGAAAGGAATTCATCTTCCATTTTGTTGTAAAGTCTTGTTTTCATAATTTTCATGGCAGAAAATGCTCTTTATGTTGTTGCCGTAGAAACTGGAAGAGTAAGTAAACAATCAAAGAGTTTGAAAGGAATTCATCTTCCATTTTGTTGTGAAGTCTTGTTTTCATAATTTTCATGGCAGAAAATGCTCTTTATGTTGTTGCCGTAGAAACTTAAAGAGTAAGTACCAAAATAATTAACTTGTAAATGAGACTATAAACCTTTGATTTTCTGGTTTAGACAAGCCATTGACATAACTTAGAAATATTTTACAAATTCTGAAAACCCTAATCATAACTTGTTTCAATCTTATAACATTGAAACTCTAATCTCAAATGAAGTTTCTCCAGCTCTTAAAATCTTGAAGATAGTATTTTTCTACAAGCTCACAAATATGATCAATTTTAAAACTCTTGCACTCGTTTTTAGAATCTAAAGCATCACTAAAAGTCAATAGTTCCACTACATTCTCATTAAACCTACAATCCAATTCTTGCAATTGGGAATCTATAGTAGCATTGAAAATATCTATTCAATAATTATGCTCAACAGTAATAATATCTTGTTGATAACGAGCATGTCCTCCCTATGCAACATATGTGGGAAAACATGTCAAGAACATTTATATTATTATTGTCACAAAATAATTTTATCTTTTCAAGTAAAGAGTCCCATCCACTTTCTGTAAATTATTGAATGAAAGCCTTTGTTAACTTGACAAGATTTAAGGTATTCAAAATATCTTGAGATTTACGCTACAAAGCTTGACAAAGCAAATCCGTGATCTCCATGATTTCTTTCATAAGATGTAAAACAAAAACAAACTCAAAAGACATCAACGCATTATATCCTACAAATAAAAAAACATATATTAGTTACCTTCAATATTTTCTTTTAAAATGTAAAATTCAAATAAATTCTAAAATATTCAACATGTTATATTACTTTTAAATGCTTCTCCATGTTGTGAAAAAGTAGATCCTTCCTCAATCAACTTGCTCAAAACAGTAGAAATTGCACTAAACATTTTTAACATGTTTAAAATAGATTTCAAATATGAACTCCAACGAGTGTCACCAAGTCGTTGTAGAGTGCCAATCTGATTAAATCCACTTCCAGTTTCAAGCTCATCATTTTCAATCAAACAAGCGATATCAGAAGTATAAATAGAGTTCAATTCATCATTGTGCTTAAAAGAAGCTATAACAACATTGACAATGCATGTCAAGTTTGAAAAAAAATTATACACGAGAATGACCTCCCTTGATGATACAACTAAAGTTAATTGCAAACGATGAGCTAAGCAATGAATGTAATAATCATAAGGACATTCTTTGCTAATCAAAGCTTGAAGTCTATTAAACTAACCTTTCATATTACTTGCATCGTCATATCCTTGACCACGAATGTTTTGAATGTCAAGATCATAATGAGAAAATAGAGAAACAATAGCATCTTTCAAAGTTTTAGCTGATGTATTTGTCACATGAACAACACGAAAGAAGCACTCTCTCAAAAATCCTTTCTTATGAACAACATCAAAGAAGCACTCTCAAAGAAACTTACAAAACTTGAAAGTTGAAATCCAAAATTCATATAAAAAGAGATAGTATTGTCTTCACCTTCTTTATAGTTGATGGTCCCTCTACCTTCAAGCTTTCAAGTTTCAATGACAAGAGAGTAGTGCAGTAGTGCTGTAGTGGCACCGAACGGA